ACTTACCTCCCGCAAATGGTACTCTCAAGCCTCCTTTCTAAGCTCCCTTCTCCCAATGCATTCTTTACCTTGCAACTAAAGCTTTGAAAATGCCTATCAATCCCCTACTTAAAACCTCAGGATAAAGTCCAAACTCTCTACTTTTCTAATAGTACTAAATTTCTCCTCCTCTAGTTCCTTCACACTTAACGTTCCCTCTCTGAACTTCATTTTCCCCTCTTAGCCTTCTCTTTTCCTAACTTCTACTTATCCTGTTAGTCTTCGCTTCAGCCTCACTTCTTTCAGTGTGGTACAGGCTGTTGGTGTGGATCAAAATCTACTTTCTCGTTCAGTCCAGGCACATGGCTGTGTTTACCAGCCTCTCTCACCAACAGGAAGTGATGTGTGGGTGAGCTTTTTGGGTTCCTTTCCATTTCCATCAGCAAGAACCTATGGAGACCCAGGCTCCACCATGAGACAAGACCCAAGGGACAGCAGAGCAATAAGGTGTAAAGAACAGAGCAGCGCCGCCCAACCACCAAGAGTGCTCAGTTCAACTGGGACACTTACTTCAGGCTGTTACACGAGAGAAAAACTATTTTCCTAGATTATGTATAGTTTAGTCCGCCTTAAGCTGGCTCACAAATACACTCAGGAAAGCCTTGCCCAGACCACTTCATATTAGCTTAAGTTTCCTGGTAAAGGCTCCCCATAGCATCCTCTACCACTTCTTAGGACTTACCACACTTGTATTTACTTATTCCACTTATTCATTTAACAAACATATATTGAGTACCTAATACGTCTGCCTGGCACTTTTCTAGAAACTAGGGGTAACAGTTCCCTTATCTCTTGGAATTTACTTTCTGCTGGGAAGACAGACAGACACACACACACACACACACACACACACACCCAAGAAAACAGAAGCTAGTGATAATGTTATGATGAAAACATAGAAACATGATAGAAACAGTGGGAAGGGGAGACCTACTCTAGATCTGGGGGTCCTGGAAGGCCCTGTAAAGTGGTAGTCCTTACACCAAGACCTAAATTGACAAGAAGGAGTCATTCCAGTGAAAGAGAATAGTTAGGGTCAACGCAGATTCTTGGCCTATTTGAAGAAAAGATTCAGTATGGATGGAATAGAACAGGGTAGAAAATAATAGAAGCAGGGCCCAAAGAGGCAGACAAGGGCCAGATCACATACGGACTCATGAGGTCACCCTAAATTTTACTCTAAGTATGACTATTTATTTAAAAGTTGACTTCTAAATTGCAAGTTTCATGAGGGCAATTCTCAATAGCACAGAAGGGTCTTTTTTTTTTAATCATCAGCATCTATCACAATGGTTAGCATATAGAACAAGTCAAATGTCGCTAGGATGAATGACTAGAAAGAGATCACATACTTATCCATATACAAACATAAGGGGATCTCAGGTGTCATTCTGACTAAATTAGAGAAATATTCAAGTGAGGCAGAAGTTATACTCCCTTGCCTACACGAGAATATATAAATTAGTTTTCTAAGTATAGTGATTCAAAAGGAAAAAATAAGCTTGAAACCCTGTGGACACCATTTGAATGGAAGTTCCCCACCCCTTTCCTGTAGCACCTTCCTTCAGAAGGAACCAACAAGCCAGTTCCCCAACTAGGATGCAAAGAGGGTGTGAAACAAGTGGTGTTAGCTGATGAAAGACTAACTCTACAACTCTATGTAATGTACAGCCGTGTAATCAATATTTTGTAATATCGTGGTAAACTGGCTGATGGGTACTTTCCTTCTAGGGAGGATATCTTTTTCTAAATTTCAACAGCTCTGTGACTTATTTGAAATGATGAATCTATAGCAACAGAACCAAAGAAAAGGAGGTATTTTTTGTGTTTGGTAAAAAAGTACGATCTTGGTATATGCACAGGACAGTCTCCAAGTCCTATAAAGTTTAGAATGAAGAAAGCTGTACCTCAAGGAGTTTCAAGAACAAGGAAAATGTCAAGTTAACAAAGCGTAGGGGCGCCTGGGTGGCTCAGTCGGTTAAGCGTCTGACTTTGGTTCAGGTCATGATCTCACGGTTTGTGGATTCGAGCCCCACATCAGGCTCTGTGCTGACAGCTCAGAGCCTGGAGCCTGTTTCTGATTCTGTGTCTCCCTCTCTCTGTGACCCTCCCCTGCTCATACTGTCTCTCTCTCAGAAATAAATAAAACATTAAAAAAAAATAAAATTTGAAAAAAACAAACAAAAGCGCAGATGAATATGGAACATAAGCATTGGGATGACCCTGTGTAGATCCGTCAGCAAAGGCCCAAGGAAAACAGGACTTAAATCAGGTTAACCACACTTTGGCAGATGGAAGGTAGAATACGTTCTTTCAGATGAACGAGATAACTTTCGCCAGTATGCCCGGGAATGTGGGAAAGTGAAAAACTGGTTTCTAGTGAGGAGATGTATTTGAGAAGCAGAACACACTAGCAAAAAAGTACAGGGAGTCTTAGAGCTAAAATGGACGTTAGAAGATTCTTTCCAAAACCCCCTAATTCCAAGATGAGAAAAAGGAGACCCAAGAAAGACAAACAAGTTTTACAGAGAGCTAATGAGTAGCAATGCTGGCAAAGAATTCAGGTCTTCTGATTCTTTTTCACTAAATACTCTGGGAAAGCACTGTACCAGGTGCCCTTGAATAATCCAAAAGAAATACACATACATTTCCCTATCTTCAAAGAGCTTAGAATGTTGCTTAGATGATATAACCAAAGAGAGACATATAAAAACAAGACATAAGTTTTTTTAAAGGGCCAAATCATGCTCTATAAAAATACATAAATCATGTGGGCAGCTGGGAAATTAGAAACAGAAAAGGAATCAAAAAGCAAATCAGTGACTGTTGAGGTAGTGCTTGAAGGAAACATGACTTTGACCACTTGTGTTCAGAATGGCATGAAAAGCAAGGGAACTGACTGGGGAGAAATTAACAACTGTAACTTAAAAAATAACAAACCTGAAAAATATGGATTGCTTTATACAGCCTTGAAAATGAAAATAAAAGGACAGATCAGGAAGTTCATGTTTGCAGAATTACTTCAAATTACAAAAGGCTTAGCTACAACATATAACTAACAAGTTGCACAAGTTCCAAGTGTAAGAAGTTTACAAGGCAGGTCTGGCTCACTGATTTCTCCCAACACAACCACTGACTAAGCTGTGCTTATGAAAACAAAACCACAGAATGAAGAAATCTGATTTTCCAGAGTACTGTGAATTTTGAGATTATCTTTTTTTTTTTTTTTCTTTTAGGAGGGAGTTCTGGTTTGGTTTTAAATCTCAAATTACCAACCAATTTACTCTATAATCCATAAAGCTATAATACCCGAAACTATTTATGAGTGTCACAGCAAAAGTCCTACTTACCAACTAGAACCAGAAGACGTATTTACAAGATCTCACTCACCATTTTATTCATCAGATGTTTCACTGGCTTGGCTGCCTTTGGTTGCAACCACAAGTGACTTTACCAGAATATCTATCCTTCAAGCAAGGAGCAGTATCTTAAAGTCAACGATATCCTTCATCATACCAGTATTGTTAACACAGAACCCAGAGGTAAGTACACATGAAGGTCCAAAATCCCCTGCTAAGTAAGTATTAAGTAACAGGACTTGTCAGATTTTTAAATATTTTACAGAAAGCTTTAGACCTACGTAAATAAAAACTGGTAATGACTTGATTCCTCTACAATCTCTGAAACACACACACACACACACACACACACCCAGACCAGGAATCCAAAATAGCTTTACACAAACAAGAGCAAAATTGTGGGTTCTGCTGAGGGCATCAGCCGCTTAATGCAGCCGGGCTTCATCAAGAGCAGGAAGCCAGGCTGCTGTTTTCATCAGTTACTAAGGAACAAATAAGATAAAGGACAGACCAGGCAAAAGAATTTTTACAGTTGAAATGAATATTTTGATGCAATTACTGAAAATTCCCAAAGTTGTCACCGAGGGGAAAGCACCCGGGGCTGCCTCAAGGCGAGTCGATCTACAGCCCAGAGAGTGGGTTAAGTGGAGAAAAAGACAATCGGAGCTGGGGATTGTTTTTTCCCCTCCTCGAGCCCCTCCTCCCTTCCCCCACCTAAACAGGAAAGAAAACGCGCCCAGCATAAACACAGGCCGAGGCTCACGGTTTGTCACCACAACAAACTGGAGGGTGGACCGGCGCTCCTGGAGACCAAGCCCCAAGGCTCGGTTGCTAAACACAACAAGGGCCTCTTTCCCCCAGACCTATGAAAGTGCGGGCCTTACCCAAGAGTTTTTGGTTGTTTCCTCACCTTTTCTCTCTCTAGCTCTTTTTTTTTTTTTTTTTTAACGAAAGCTTTGGGAACGCAGCGACAGCAAAAGTTTCCCTCTGAGCCAGACCTCGAGATCCGCCTGGCACAGACACACATTAGGTGGGCTGGTCCCACGTCGTCTCCCCCATCATTACAAATTACAACCCTAACGATTAAAGCCCAGAGGCGGGGAGGCTAGCAAAAGCGCTTCCACACCCACCCCACCGCTGCCGTCCTTTCCAGGCACCGCGTTCCGGTAGCAAAGAGCACAAATAACCCCAAACCATGGTGATAAGCGGAGCTGTGAAATACACACGCACGAGTCACACGCTGGGAACCTGCCACGACGGCGGGGGGGTGGGGGTGGGGGAGGAACCGGCCGGGTGAGAAGGCGGCCCCCTGTCATCCGAGGACAACAACACGCCCCGAAGAGAAGTGGCAGGAGGCTGGGGGAGTTGCCCCGGAAAACAAACCCGGAGCCTCCGCGCTTTCCCGCGAACGCAAGCCCCTCCGCGGCCGCGGGCGACCGGGCCGCGGGACCGGGCGCCGGGTCCCGGGTGGGGGCGCGCCCGGAGAGGCGCCCCCCGCAGGCTGGGCGCCCCGAAGAGCCCCGCGGCCCGCCCGGCCCCGCCTCAGGGAGCGGATGGGCGCTCGCTTCCTGCCGAAGCCCCTTCCCGCCCGGCCCGACTCACCGCCGGTGGGTCTGGTTCTCAGCCGCGAGCTGGGGCTGCTGTAAGGAGGCGGCGGAGGAGACGAGATCCGGGGCCCCGCCGCCGGGTCATCATACCCCCCCGCGCGAGCCGGCCCGGGCCCCGGCCCCCGCCCCCCGGAGCCGTCCCCGCGCCTGTCCCGCGGGGGGAGCCCCCTCAGCCTCCCACCCGCTCCGCCGCCCGGCCCCTGGCCGCCGCCGCCGCCACCACCGCCGCCGCCTCAGCCTCGCGCGCTCCCGCCTCGGCCTCCTGCTGCCGTCCGGGGCCACCGCCGGGCCCCTCGCTCCGCAGCCGCCGTTGTCGCCAGACCCGACGAGCCGAGCGCCGAGCGCCCGCCCCCATCCGGCGGCCCCGCCCCGCGGGAACCATTCACCAGCCCCGCGCCATGACACCTACTGAGGCGGAAGTGCGGAGGAGCGGGCCGACTAGGACCACATAGTACAGATGGGAGTGGGAGCGGGGGGACCTCCGTGGGGAGCCAGCGTGGATCGAGTGCGGGAGCCGGATTCCCCGCCCCCTCCGCGCGGCAGACTCCGCGGTCATTTAAAGGTGCTTGGTGGCGGGGGGGGGGGGGAGTCCGGCTGTAAAATGTCATCCCAGCCAGTGTGACGTCACCACAAGCTAGTGTGACACCCCCAGAGATTGGGCAGCGCGCAGGGAGGCAGTGCCTACCCGGGAAGCCACCCTGCTGGTGAGGAATTACCTCAGTTTAGGCTTTAACGTTTCGTTGCCGTCTAGGGACGTCCTAGCCCAGTGGCCTCCGTGTACGGGATCCGGGAGCCTCCGAGGACTCGGGAGCTCTTTGCGAACTCTTCCGCCGCCGCCTTGGGAACCAGTGGTTGCGTTACGAGGTGGGAACGAGCCCCTGTGCTCTGCACCCAACACCTCAAAACGAGCAGTGAGCGAATACTACAGTAGTGCCCTTGCCTTTACCGGGAGCTACCAAGACTGGATATTCAGGAACCGGAGTGCATTGGGCACACACCATTCTGGAAAGATGGACACGTGAAAACGAGGTTATCCCAAAAGAGAGGCAGATGCCATCTTCCAGAGTCGGAAGACTCTGTAGGACTTCAGAGGCACCTCCCGCTGTGTACAATGTTCTTATTCTTAAAGTAAGGACCATTTTTAGAGCGACAGTAGTAAAGTCTGGTTTTTTTCTATCCCGTGAGTGCTGGGGCCGCAGTGATGTGAGCCCTACGAAGTGACTGGCCGGCACCACGGGTGTCTGCATGTACTCTGGGGGGGGGGGGGGGGGGCAGGGACAGATGTGGTTAAGTCGTGACTGCTATTTCACTGTACTCCCCATCTCCTCACCAAAAGGGGGGAAAAAAGGATTTTTGTGCAAATGTGTTCATACTTTTGTGAAGAAGTGGTAATACTAAGTTCCTATCTTAGGGCCTCTTTCCTGGCTTAACACCACTGGGAACAATTCTATTATATTGGGAACAGGGAAGTTTATTTCCCTAGCAAGTGTTCCTTCAATCCCACTGGCCGTTTTGTTTGCTTATCTTCGCTGCAGTTTAGAGAACACGAAGTTCTGCATTGGGCTGACCTGGGAAACATCAAAATAGAGAGAGAGGGGGCAAGGATGCCCGCTTGCGGAGCCAGGAAAAAGGCAGAACTTGAACTCTGGTGTAGAACTGATCCTGCTCAAAAAAAACAGACTTCAAACACACTAATTACTCACCATAACTTGGCTCAGCCGAACTCCATGACCTGCATCTAGGCCCCTGCTCTCTCAGGTTATGTCCCTTTCCTCTTCTCAAACACAGCTCAAAATTCAGCTTTAAGGAGCCTTTCCTGACTGACTCCCACTTTATTCTGATCTTTTAATTCTGCACCATCGTCTGTCTACGTGATGGACTTCCTTGGGCCTTGTTTAGTCTCGTCTATTTTCACGGTTCTCAGGCCATTTCCTCAGCTTGCCTCACTACATGGAGACCTCAAAATTTACTCTTTTTCCCTCTCTAATATCATCCATTCATCCATCCAACAAATTGTATGCCTGCCTGCTTTACCCCAGGAACTCTCTTAGATACTGGACCAGATGCAAAATTAATAGGACATGGTCTTTTCCTTCAGCTTACAGTCTAGTTGGGGGTGGGGGGGTGGGCGATACGTAGAGACATTTATCAGACTTGAATGACAGAGCCAGGGAAGACTTGGGAGAAGGAGATATTTATACATAAAATAGTCAAGTGTCAGCATTTAATTAGTTCGGGTTTACTTGTCCATTCAGCAAATATCTATCGAGAATCTTCTGTGTGCAGGCACTATGTTAGAAATCAAAGATACAAAAAGAGAAGACATGGTCCGTGCTCTGAAAGAGCTTACAGTTTGGCAGAATGTGGACTTAGCAAAGGTAGATTGAAACGGATTTTATTGTTTTTAATATTTATTTATTTTGAGAGACAGAGAGAGGGAGAGTCCCAAACAGGCTCCTCACTGTCCGCACACAGCCAGATGCGGGGCTCGTAACCATGAACCGTGAGATCCTGACCTGAGCTGAAATCAGGAGTCTATGGAGCCACCCAGGCACCCCCTGAATCAGGTTTTAAAGGCAATGAAGGTTTAATCAGACAGGTAATTAGAGGTTGAATCAGACAGGTAACATGACGGAATCTGTTCTTTAAAGAGAGAGCTAGAGGCGCTGAGGAGGATGGCTCCCTGGAAAGTGTAACACTAGAGAGAGCCTAATTAGGAGGCTATGATGAGGGGGCCTGGGTGGCTCCAATGGTTGAGCTTCGTCCTACTTTTGATTTTGGCTCAGGTCATGCATGATCTCGGGGTTGTGGGATGGGGAGCCCTGTGTCAGACTCCTGCTTGGGATTCTCTCTCTTTCCCCATCTGACCCCCGTCCCCTGCTCACTCTCTCTCTCTAAAATAAAAAATAAAAATAAGCTATGATGAGGGTTTGGTCAAGCAGAGAACATGGAGAGAAAGGGGCAGATTGAGAATTGTGTCCCCCCAGACAGAATCAGCACAGCCACAGAGGGAGATGGAGTCGTTGCCAGCTCGAAGCACTAAATCTCACCTTGGGTATAATATTCCCCTTGGGCTGAGAGCCTAGACTCAGTTTTGCAGGCAAGAAGTCACTTGCTCAGGAGCTGCAGAGCTTAAGGCCAACTGGTGGAAGCTGACCAAAAGGCTGTGTCACGAGAAAAGTTTAATCGAAAAGCTAGTCGAGCCATCAGAGGAAGTAGTAGATCCTCGGGGCCAGGAAGAAAAGAGAATTCGAGTAGAAGCCAAATAGTTCTAAAGGTGGAAAAACCCATACGAGAGTTAGAGGCCCAAAGGAAAGGATGGGGATGGGGGGCAAAACGTGGAAAAATTCTTTGAAAAAGAGGGAATTCTCAATGACTTTTTAAATCTAGACTCCAGGAAGCTTTTCATTTGGAAGTAAGTCCAAACACACAGAAAAGAATAAAAAGAGCACTCCTATATCCTTTACTTGGATTTGTTTATTAACATTTTGCCCCTTTCGCTTTAATAATTGCAGTCTTAGATAGACAATATACTTACACATTTTTTTCCCCTGACCATTGGAAAATAAATTGCAGGAACACCCGGGTGGCTCAGTCGGTTGAGCCTCCAACTTCAGTTCAGGTCTTGATCTCACTGTTCGTGAGTTTGAGTCCCGCATCGGCCTCTGTGCTGACTGACAGCTTAGAACCTGGAGCCTGCTTTAAGTTCTGTGCCTCCCGCTCTCTCTGACCCTCCCCTGCTCACACTGTCTCTATCTCTCAAAAATAAATTAAAAAAAAATTAAAGGAGCGTCTGGGTGGCTCCGTTGGTTAAGCGTCCGACTTCGGCTCAGGTCATGTTCTCACAGTCCGCGGGTTTGATCCTCGCATCGGGCTCTGTGCTGACAGCTCAGAGCCTGGAGCCTGCTTCAGATTCTGTGTCTCCCTCTCTCTGCCCATGCTCTCTCTCTCTCTCTCTCTCTCTTTCTCTCTCAAAAATAAAGATGAAAAATTTTTTTAAAGAAGAGTAAATTGCATACATCATGCCCCTCTGTCCCTTAATACTTGAATGTCCTAAGAATAAGTACATTCTTCTCCATACACAATATATACAGTTATCAATTCCAGAAGACTTAACGTTGATATAATACTTTAATCTACCGTCCGTATTCCCAGCTTTCTCACTTAATCCAATAACATCATTCCTAACCATTTTTTCCCCTTTCAGTAGAGGATCGAGTTCAGGGTCATATATGGCGTGCCTCTATAGTCTCCTTCAATCTGTATCAGTTCCCTAGCTTTTGTCTTTGATATTTTTGGAGAGTACAGCCTGTCCCCTTCGTTTGGACAGTAGAATGTTCCTCATCTTAGACTGGATATTTTTATGTTTGTCTCATATTTATCCGTGATTAGATCCCAGTTATCCATTCCTGGCCAGAATCCTACGTAAGTGATACTGTGTCCTTCTCAGGATATAAAACCCAAAGTCAGCTGATGTCTCTGTCCCTCACTGGGTGATAAGAATTTTGGTGGTTGAGGTGTCTGGTTCCCCCACAGGGGACTTGCTGTTTTTTTTCCCTAGTAATATGCAATCTTTGGGGAGACGTCTTAGACCATGCAAATACCCTGCTTCTCATTAAACACATTCCCCTAGATTTAGCATCTATTGATGATTCTTATTTGTAGCAATCCTCCCTTATCTCTTATTAGTTAATCAACTTAGTTATCTATTAATGCTATATAGATTCATGGATTACTATGTTTTTCAATGATTTCTAATTCCTTACAGTACTTAATTATTTGGGTGCTAAAATTTTTCAGATCTAGTCAGTGGGTATCTTTTCAGATGTGTGTGTGTGTGTGTGTGTGTGTGTGTGTTTAGCATGTCTGAATGTGAGATGTTCTAGACTCATCATGATTCTTGCAGGTTCACCGTTCTTGGGAGGCCTGGATTTCTCTACTGGCTGCCTTGTCTCTGGCCAGAAAAAAAAGAAAATATGGATTATTTGTGTGGGAAGTTTTTATGGGTCAGGCCTGCAGGTATCAAACACATAGATCTACTCTGCACACGTTACCTTCGTGGGAACTCAGGAACATATATCCTGCTAGAGAGATTAGAAGATGACAAATTCTCTCTGTGTGCCCAAGAGGAAAAGAGACACAACTTAGAAAAATTAGCCCAGACTCTGCCACTCTTGTCCAAAGGCCATTCCCTAGATTACTTCTTCCATATTAATAGAATTCTAGTTTCATACAGATGGAAGAAAGAGCCTTTGATTTCAAGAAAGGTGGCCCCCTCTCACCAAATCAGGAGAAAATCACAGTGGACCAAACCAGTCCTGGTGATTCCATTTCTCTTTGGCAGTGACTAGTTTGGGAGTGGATTTAGGACTCAGTTCTGGTCAGTGAAACAGGAAAGGAAGCCCTACTGGGAGGCTCCTAGGACATTTTTTCTTTTTGTATAAAAAAATATAGAAACTTCACAGAAGAAATTCTCTTGTTCCTGTCTCTCTTTTTGCTGAGACAAAGGAATGAAGACACCCGGCCTGGGGCTGCCATGGCCATCTTGTGACCGTAAATGTGATAGCAAACAAAGATAGAGACAGTCAGCACGCTGAGGACTGGATAGAAACAACGGGTCCTTGATGACACAGGTAAGCTTCTGCATGAACTTGGAACTGCCTCCTGCTTCTGGACTTCTTTTTAAGTAAATATATGTTCTTATGTATCAGGAACACTCTTAGACAAGTTTTCTATTCTTTGCAGTTAAAAAAATTAGTCTTAAGCAATATGGGAGAGAACTTGGAGGGATTTTCTAGAAGAAGGAGCTCACTGGTGGTGTCCAAATGTTCTGAGAAGTAAAGGAGCATAAGGATGGAAGAGTTACCAGTGGATTTGCAATGAGAAGGTCACTGCTGATCTTAGTGAGAGCAATGCTAGTGGCATGGTGGGGGCAAAAGGGGTGTGATTCCCACAAAGGATTTTTCCTAGTATGAGTGTGCCTGCCAAACTAGGAAGGGCGGTTTGGTTCAACTGATAGAATCTACTCTGGTCGTTTCCCATATTCAACACTTAATATGCAAAGAAACTGCTTGGGTCCACACCGTCCACTTTGGCGACTGCTGGGAAATCATGAACTGAATCATTTTGACTGTTCTCTTTACCACTTCCCACAG